GCCCCGCCCCGCCGCCCCGGCAGGCGACAACACAAAGGCATATCCGCTGAACGGTTTCGATTCGAACCCGCGGCCGCGCGGCACGCACGCCCCCGAGTGTCCTCACCTTCGGCACCTTCGGGTCGGTTCGGGTCATTAGTCGTCGCCTACCTGCCGCAGAGCGCCGCACAGCGCAGCACGCCCCATTCACACGGCATTTTTATTATTGTATACTCCGGAGGAGGAGACCTGGATGAGGAGGGGACCCAGAGGAGGAAGATGATCGCATCGCACGACGGGAGAAAGAAAGAAAGAAAGAGGAAAGTAACTACTATAGCGTTGGAAGTGGAGGACATTTTTTTGGTGTATATGGTCTACCCCAGCCACCGCTGCTGCTGGCTATCAGCGTGGGGAGATCGCAGTCGCGGGCCCCTCACCTCACGCCGCGCACCCCCGCCCTCCTGGAGCTAGGAGGCACGTCACTCAGAGCGTCACCTCACGCCGCCGCCGCCGCCCCCGCCCGTCCTCCCCATTACGCAGAGTGACGTCGGCAGACCTTGACGGCATCAAGGCCGTGCGCCCGCCGGCCGAATCTATTTTGATTAATTTCGGAAAATAGAATAAGACGATAGCGAGGGTAACTTCATTCACATTCGAAAAGGCAATCTTCACGGGAAAGAGGATTATGAAACAGTTGCTTCATTCTACGGCGCGACGCAAATACAGGGTGGCCCAACACATCCCAGTCAATTATTTCGTATTTTTGTGTATACTGAAACGCATGCAGCCGTGCGGGCGAGCTGGCCTCCCGTCTCTCACCACGGTGGCGCCTTGTGGCCCCTTGCGAGTAGGCAAGGCGTCCACACGGCTGCATGCGGTACAGTGTAACTTCGAAATTGTCCCGGGACTGTGGGCCACTCTGTACTGACAGAGCCGAGATAAATGGTTTTCATTCGTGCAGTGCGTCTGAGAAGGCGAGTCGCGCGCACCGACCGAAGCACGCACAATTTCTTATTAATTTTCCTTTTCTGCGGGGGAAAAATAATAACACTAATCTTTGATCTGATCCATCGACGTATATAGTGGGGTGAGAAGGAGAGAGATGCACGCGTGTATGGTTAAGAGAGCGAGAGAGAGAAAGGCGGAGGGGGAGAGAGAGGCCGCTCTGCCCGGTCTGGTCCAGCCCTGATAATGACGAAGCCAAGCCGGCAGCAAATTAGCAAGCTCATCTCATTGCTCCAGCGGGCCGGGCCGGTCGGGGCCGGGGGCCGGCCGTGCCATGGACTTCCACGGGCTGCCATGCCTCCTCCTAGCGGCTCGGACCGCCCCGCGCCCCGCCCCACCCCGCTTAGCGCCTCGCTTGGCAAAGGCCTCTAACTCATCTCGTCTTTGGCCTCGGTTCAAAGAGCTCCTCACCCACACAGCCCCCGCCCCGCCACGCCACCCGGCGCCACGCCCCGCCACGCACGAGACGGGCTGCTTGTTGTACATCGCCTGTCCGGTGCGGTCCGGCCGGGGCGGGGAATGCGTGGGTCGCGGCGCGGAAAACTAGAACGAGCATGAAAACAATTACACACTCGCCTTTTCAACCACGCTCCATCGCGGGCTCGCCGGCCCCGCACTTCCCTTTCGATGGAGTTGCGGCCCAAGAAGTGCGCGTCGCGTGTCGCGTCCCGATGCCGCCGCTGCTATCCGGGTGCCCCCTATGTGCCTCGCGAGGGCAAGTTGCATCTAAGTTCACGGACCGGGACCGGGTCCCGCAGAAAATTCCACCGCCGATTTGCGTCCGGAACCCGGGGCGAGACTCCGTGCCGCCCTCCAGACGGGGAGTAGGCAAGCTCGGCGGGCGCCCGCGCGCGGCGGGGTGCCTACCCACCGCTCACTTACCTCGGCCGTATCCCTGGGTGTGCTTCGCGAAGCTGTTGACCACGGCGTCCACGGCCTCCTTCAGCACCTGCTTGGCGCGGGCGTCGCGCGCGTCCGACAGCGCCGAGCCGTTGTTGTTGGGACTGCGCAGGGCTGGCGGGGGCGGCGCCGGGGCGGCCTTCGTCTTGGGCTGCATCGGGGCGTCGGGGATTGTAGGGGGCGTGGCGGGGCGGGGCGCCGTCCTGTCCTGGACCGGGTAAGTGACCACTGAGTCACCGCGGGCTGTAAGGGCTGGGCCAGGCCGCTCAGCCTGCGCACACCGCGCACCTGACACAATCACTCACATAACGGCTCACTTGACGCGCACACTCACACACACGCACACTCACTATGTCGCACACTCACTATGTCGCACACTCGCGCACCCCTCACAATCACTACCAGGGGCCTGGCGGTGGGCCTAGCGGTACGCGCTGGCTGACGCTGTCCGGCGCGAGGCGTGGCTGTGGTCCGCACGTCCGCACGCTGCGAGCGCGGACCAGACAATGAACACCTGGCCTGGCCTGGCAGCGAGGCGAGCGGAGCTAAGCGGAGCGGACCCGGCAGCGGCGGCAGCAGCAGGAGGGGCACGGAGGGGAGGGGGAAGACCCAGACCTCCGGCATTACAGGAGGACGGGACGCGCGAGGGCGCGCGGGCCTCCAGCTCTCTTGCGTCTTGCCCGCGACTCCTTTCGGTTCTTTCGGTCGCCGTGTTCGGTTCGGGTTCCATTCGGGATCGGTGCTGAGGTAGGGAACGAGGAAGAGGAAGTGGGAGGGGGAATCTTCCACCCTACTTCCATCCACCCCGATCCTTCAGAATAGAGCGACAAAGAACGCTGTTGAGTCAACGAGCGAGTCCAAATTAAAAGTGTTCGATTAATAAATCTTGCAGTGCTAGGGTTGGCGTTCTTGGCCGGTAAGAAATAGTGTGCGTTAGAAAGAAACACATAAAGTGGTTTCAAGAAAGGTTTTTAAACAGCTAGAAATTTTACATTGAAAAATAATTAATAATCATATTTTCTTTTCTTTTGCTAGTTGTTTCAGTTTCTTTGACATCGTCTTTAGATTTGTTAAGGTTGCAGATGGCTTAGAGACGCTTTGCAGGTTTTTCTTCTTAAATTGCAAGTATTTCTTTGGTTTCTTGCGAATTTGCTTTCTTACTTCCTCTTCCCGCTGATAGATACAAAAAAAAGTTATTTGTAAATAATGAGTATAGAGAAACTCAATGTTGATACCTGTGTTTCAACCAACCTCTAATTCTGTTTTTAAAGCTGTCAAAGCAGACTTGTAGTCATCCTCAAAGGCTTCAAATTTGGAAGGATCAACTTCTTTCTCTTTTACCATGCTCTGTTTTCCTGCTTGACTCAGCATATTCTCAAACTTTTTCATCTAGGTAATAAATGTGTTTTTGAAAATTATGTGTTTAAAATTGTTGTTTCTAACCCATATTGAGTTGTGCATAGAATTTACCTGTCGATTTTCGACTAAAGTGATGGCTGTGCCATTACGACCAGCGCGACCAGTTCTTCCCACTCTGTGAATGTAGTTCTTAATGAACTTAGGAGCATCATAGGAGATAACACAATCAATATTTGGGACATCAATACCTCTTGCAAGTGCATCTGAACACACCAACCTGAAAAGAGAAAAATTAGCTACCAAATGACTTGTTTGCTGGTTAAAAGAGGCATGCAACAGTAATTAAGCATAATCATCATCATACTACTTACACATTTATGGTACCTGAAGCAAAACACTCAAAAATTTTTGTCCTTTGTTTGGGTTGAAGTGCTGATGAAACTTCAGATACACTTTTCTTATCTTTAAACATATGTTTCAACAGAATAGCAAGTCTATGAACGCCTTCAGTAGTATTAGTGAACACAAGAACAGTATTCCAGCTTCCTTCAGTTAAAAGGTCATAAAGATACAGAGGCTTGACTGCTAGCTCACAAGCTACCCACAACTCTGTGAGCTCAGCTGGAGTGGTGAATTTTCCAATAAATTCTGAGGAAGAGCTCTCTTCTGAAAAATGTAAGTTTTAGAAAGTCAGATGAACAGTTCAATCTAAATACTAGAAGCCAATCATTTACTAAAAAGGGGTAGCTAACCTGGGGTTGTTCCATTAATGACAGATGTGAAAAGCCTTGGCTGGAAGAGGCCAAGTTGTTGAAGCTTCTCTGGATCTTGACTTAAAGTTGCCGAGAACAGTAGTTTCTGAGGAGGTGGGTGACGAGTACTTATATCTCTAATAGTAAGAGGTGGAACTCTCCTGCTGTTATCTGAGACATAAACAAATAATCTTTATGATGACATAGTGAAACTAACTCTAATTAAAAGAAGAGTAAGACATTTACCTGAACTGATGTGTCTATCTAGATGATACAGCCAGTCATTTTGCATTGATTCCATAACACGGTCAGCTTCATCAATCACAAGATACTTAAGATGACATAATGAGAACCCAACTGTAGATTGCAAGTGATCGACCAACCGTCCAGGAGTTGTCACAACAATATCAACACAACTGTGAAATTTCCCATCAGCCTCCGCTGAAGGAAAGAATTCAAAATTAGATAAATATTTGATAGGTCTGTAGTACTGTACATTGGCATGCTCCAGTATGAGTGAAAACGCCTTATCTTTATTGTAATGTAAAGCTTGAAAGAGAGGAAGGGTACACTCATAACTTTGCCAGCTCTTTAGCAAGGAAGATTGTTAGATTGCTGAAAGTCTTAACTATTAACTTACAATAACGGACAAGCTGAGACTGCTCTTGTTGAAAGGATTCCTTCCCTGTAATACAAACAGCTTTAAGAGTTGTTACACCAATGTAATCAAGGAAAACTTTGTACACTTGTGTGGCAAGCTCTTGAACTGGTAGAACAACAAGAGCTCTGATATGCGGTATGAGACGGTTGCGGAGAGCCTGTGAAAAGAAAGCAATCAGCAAGCCGGTTTCAGTTTTTAATTTTCATTTAGTAGATTAGATTATTTGGGATTGTGATAAAGTTTGCAAACCTGGATTATTGGCAAAACAAACGCAAAGGTTTTACCACTTCCCGTTGGTGCTGAGACACAAATATCCCTGGGCCAAAATTGAGGTGGTTTACTCTGTGCTTCTAGCAACCATGGTATCACTTGATGCTGAACTGAAAAAGGAATAAACATTTAAGTCAATTTAAAATCCAATAAACTAAATGTAAATTTAGATAAAACAAGAAGTAAAATGCAAACCTGGAAAAAAGTTTACAATTCCGTTTTGTTTAAGTTTTTCTATTAGATCTCTATTTAATTGTGGAATATCATCTACTGTAACTGTAAGATTTTTCAGATCCACAGATACTACTGATGGGTTGGCAAGCCAATAAGGCAACTGAGCTTTAACCTGGAGCAGAAGAAGAAAATACATAAAAGAAAGTGTCACTAACTTTACAATGATCAAATAGAAACTTTAAAGCGGGTGTCATGGCTATCAATAGCAATAGTCAGTGCAAGAGGGATAGACAAATGCGAAGTCCAAGAGAGTGAGAGCGCGTGAATGACAGTAAAGTGGTTCAGGAGCCTTGTAGTCACATAAATGTGACCCCTGCTTTAAAACTTTCTTGTGAAGAGTGTGAAATTTAAATCTTTATGTTTACTCACCTTTACTTTTTTACTTCCTAAAGAATCACTTCCAAGGACAGTAAATTTTCCACCAACTTCTAGTGAAGACTCTTTGTTAAACTTGCTCTTCTTCTCTTGGCGTTGGGTCTTAATTGATTTCTTTTTATCAACAGATGGCTTTTCATGTTTGATAGTCTTCAGCTTCTGTTTTTTCCTTTCCTTTCGTTGCTTTCTTTCTTCTTCGTCTTTTGCAAGTTGTGCGGCTTGTTGCTTTTTGTTTTCAATTTTAGAGAGGAGTCGTTCTAGATGACTTGTCTTCGTGTTGTGTGTATCGGACTGGGACTCTTGTTCATCGCCTCCATATCTAATAAAACATTTCAAAATATTAGAATAGCTATTAGTTGAAACATATCAGGAGAAGGAAATGGACGATACACCACAGAGAATTAAAATCAATAGCCTAATAGTTTATTTTGGGACTATGGTATCACCTTTCAACTACAAAGAGATCCATCGCGTTAATATTTCTACGATCCTATAATAAAGTATAGTCGATATGGTTGAAAGAGTAAATACAGATGACTTCCTCTTAGGCGTCAATCACCAATTCTTCCAGAAATGAAAATATAACCAAACCATGTGGTTGATTGGTTATTGTTGTCAGCGTGAGAGTCGGATCTGCGAATAGTACGGAAAGCACGATTTGAGTTTGTTTGAGTTTGAATACCTACCAATACCTACAGCTGGGATATATGCAGAATTCGACAAACGAACATCGACATAGATCGAATCGAATTTCTGTTTCTGCTGCATAGCCATTAAGTCCATCATCAGCTGTCCCCTATCAACCGTTGTAGGTTGTGAACGTCAGGAAAATGTTCGGTGAAAAGGTTAAAACCTACTACTGGTATGACACTCCAGATGGAGAAGATATATTGAAGAAGACAAGCTTTGCCATGAAGATTGGTTACTTATTTGGCATGCCAATAGGTCTATATGACATGGCCATGGTAGCTCAACCCAAGATGTCTTTGCATCTATTCCGCTACACCAAGATTGTTTTGCCATTCGTGGGTGTTGGAGCAATGTTTACTTTGACAAGCCAGTTACTGTGTAAGAAATTCCCTGAACTCGACCCCAGGATTTCGTATGCGATTGGAGGAGCCTCTGTTGGAACTGTTGTTCAAGCCGCTGCTAAGCACAAGCATATCGGTGGTATAGTGGCTTTCTATGGTTTTATTGGCTGCTTTTTAATGCGTGATTTCGGTGTATATGGTGAATCCATGTGGGGCCAGCAAGTCAAAGGAGACTTTCCAGATAATGACTGGGAACTCTTCAGGTTTAATATGCGTCAAGATCCTGGACTAAATCTCCCTCCTCCTAACTCGAGACCTGCCGCAGGAGGCTCACGTCTTGGTCTATAATGATGTTTTGTTCTTGATGGTTAGAACTTTGCTGTTGTGTACATACCATGCAATTATTTTATTTCTGTACAGTGCAGAACACAACTTGGTGTTGTCTAAATATATTCGTGATTGCTTTCAACAATGTTATGATTCAATCTTTCCTCTTCAGAATTTTTTTATTTGATTGTATGTAATTGTCAAACACACATTTGTAGAGTTGATCAAACCTAGCCCCAAACCCTCTTCCTCATCAAGGTTTCTAAAAATTTATATAAAGAATTGCATAGGCATAGTCAGCTCTGAAAGTCATATTCCTTATTTTGTGTGGTGTGCAATTTTTTTTTGAATTAGTAGTGAAGGAGGGTGTTGTCAGAGTGAATCTGCCTTTGAAGGAAAGAATAAAGCACTGTGATAAACAAATGACTTTCAGAAGTTGTAATCATAAATTAACAACGATACAGCACTAAATAATGTTATTTGTACTTATTGTGTCATAAACACACACTTACAAGGTGAACTCTTCATTTCGGACATTATGTACAGGAACTCTGAATTAAGCTCAGGCCAGGTTATTTTTTTCTTTTCTTTTTTTTTTTGTAGAAACAGTCTGACACACATTGCTTTATGGAAACGTTCACAATTCAGGACGAAGGAAGGGGTGACAACAAATTGGCATCATTATTTATGATTCTTATAGGCCCAAGCAGAGACAATATTTTGATTTTAACAATTACAGATGACAAATTTTACTCAGAATACTGATAAAGATTCAATGAATGAAATATTGAATTCTCAGTCCGAGCATTTTATATTTTTACAAAATAGAAGCTGACAACTTTACCTTAATACACATTTTAGTAGTGCAATATGGACTTAACTTGAATTGAGCTGAGACATGAAAAAGCTTTAGAGATGTCGTGGTAGGTTGGACTGGTGGGAAATGTTCTGCTGATAAGCTCTATAACTAATTGAATTATGGGAATACCAAAGAGGTTGTGTAACACACAAATCACACAACCGTCACATAGCTCTGCCTTAAAAAGTTAGATTCAGATTCCATTCACAATGTTTTCTTTAAATTTAAAAGAAGAATTTATCTAGAAAAAGATAATGGAGGATATGGTGCAGCACCATAATTAGATGTCATTGTTATGATTACACTGAGTTGATACCTGTTGCACTATCTGAAGAGGTAAAAGCAAATCAAGAAAAGAATCTCTATGTCATGCAAAGATGAATCATTGGATCAATCTCATTCAATTACAGTGTAAATCCCATTTTTTATGAAACAAAGAGGAAAAGTACAATTTATGACATGGAAATTCATCAAAAATTTCCCCTTATTTCTAAAAGACAGTGAAAGGACTTACAGACATTTTCTTACACACTATTTTAACACATGGTGAAGCTGTTATAAATTACACAACCATTAACATTAAGAGACAAAAAAGTTGCTCTCTGTTTCAACAACAATACAGAACTTTCAACTTATGTTAAAAACTTTCTCCCCATCAGTCAAACAGAAATACAGATCCATAAAAGAGTGTCTGTGTGAACACACAATATACACTCTACATCAAATCTACACAAATTTGTTAGTTTCGAGATACATTTTCATACAACAATAACATAATTTAACAATAACAATTGAACTAGGGTGCACTAACGATAGTTTCTTCCTGATATCAGTGCCCGGTTATAGGGGCTGGGCAAGCTCAACATTTGCAATACTGAAGTGTCACATTTAATTGCAAACATCACAGCCTGTTTATAAGATTGCTTCTAAAGAGCTGTAGAGTACAAAGATTTTATGTTAGACATACATTCAGTCGCATCTCAATCTGAAAGAGTTTATTTTAAGATGGGAGAAATACAAAAAACACTTGCATATCTTAGTTGTTCCTAATAATCAGAAGATTTCGGTAGAAAATATTAGCTTTACAGATTATCCTTTTACAAACCTGGAAGGAAGCAGAGGGAGAGTTTATATTGTTGAACTTCTGACTTAATTATAAGTGACAATCATAACATGTTGTTT